GGCTTGACATGACTCATTTACACCCCTATCTTCAACCATAAAAATGTGGATTAATCGATAAAGAGTTATTTTAGGTTAATTATTTATAGTGATACACTAATAGTTGAGCTATTGCACATTGCCCAATAATTTATTCAAAAAATTTGAAGTCAATCACAACCAGTAAAGCGCGGACACGCTCATCCAAAAAAAATTTGAGTATCGGACACGTGTCCGACACGGACACGCTCTGACACGCTCGGACACGCGTCTGACACGCTCGGACACGCGTCTGACACGTGGTCAACATTTGGGGACATGCGGTCAACTCTCCGACACATTCCGACACGCGATCAACTTTTTTCGACACACGATCTACGCTAGGACACGCTCGGACATGTTTTTTTTTTTAATCTTAATTTTATTTTGTTAACTAAATATAAAAGAAATAATTTATAAATTAATTTTTTTCTGTTATAAAATTTGACATGAAAAATTAACAAAGTACGAAAAATTATTTATATTTATATTTATGTTATGAAATTTAAATATTTGATTGGTTATATGACTTATTATGGACTCTTATATGTATTAAATATAACTTATATTATATATATTAAAAATTTTATTTAATATCAAGACGTGTCCCAACGTGTACAAATATGACATTTTTTAGAATTAATGTGTCGGTGTGTCGTGTCGTGTCCCGTGTCTGTGTCCGTGCATCATAGATCACAACTCTGGCCCAATAAGTATTGCTCATTTATTCAAAGAAGTAACAATTTGACATATATTAAAGGGAAAATTGTTTGTCCTTTTAAATGATACAACTTGTGTCATTTCACTCTCACAAGAAAGTGAGACCCACATCTTTTTTTTTGTCCACTCTCTCCCTTACGAGTCATGATCTATTTCTTTCTCTCACATAAAATGACATAACTCTACATCCTTTAAAATTACACACATTTTTCCCTATACTAAATTGCGATCAAATTCAAGTTCAAATGAACAACATATATGATTGTGATTTGTTTGACAAAAAAATGAAAGTAACAAATTTGGCATAATTTAAGATCTAAAATTTGTGATGTGTTTAGAATGATTTAATTATAATTATTTATTTTTATTAGGTAGTTATTGTTATATTTATTTTTAGGATTTTGAATTGATTTGTAATAAGTTAATAAAAGGATGCTAAGAATCTTATTGTAGGAATTAAATTTTGTTAATAGGAATTGAGAACCGAGAAATTTCTATTTTACCAAATCCAATTTCGTCCGTTTAACCATATTTTCTATGCACTCTCGTCATGAAGTAATCTCGAGTTCGAATTTTCTATACGTAATTGTATTAAAAATTTAGTAGAAAAATCTTTACCGCTTTTGTGATCCTACCTTCCCCGACTTAATGAGTTAGATAATCAACAAACCGGACTTGTTGGTTTGTTCAAATCAGGTTAAGTAAAGTAAACTGCTAGTTCGGTTTCTGTTTGGAATTGTCCATGTTTGGTGGGTACGTTCTATACTGATTTACACCTACTTTTTGGTAAGTGTGTACGGGGTTTCACTGTTAGAGGAGTCGGCCTTATAAATTCAACCTTACGAATCGTTTGGCGTAGGAGAAATTTTTTTTGATCTCGGAAAAAAAATTTGCGGATAAATAGTTAGCAAATTTTTTTACGGGATAATTTGCAAAATGATGTTTGGTAGCCCAAAAAATTTGACAGAAAACTTGGATTAATTTGAGTAACTATATTTGGTTGATTATAAAAAAATGATGGGAATCCTTACCAAAATTACCAAATTACCCATACACTTTCTCTCACCCCTCTGTTTATATCTAGGGTTAAGGGTGTTTTTGTCTTAAAAACTTGGAGCCATTTTCCCCCGCGTCAGCAATTCTTTTTTCCACATTTTCAATGGCAAAGTTCAACAATGTAAAATGCTGGCAAACAACTTGACTGCAAATTGAGTTTCCAACGGACAAACATTTCTTCTCCCTACCAAACACAGCAAATTATTTTTCCATACCACACTTTCCATGGCAAAAAAAATTTTGACTACGTACCAAACGCCCCCTTAACAGTTGTAGTGTTGCACTTTCTTTTTTGATCATTTCATAGGAAATTGATTTTATTGATAGAGTAAAACATTCATTATATTGAATAAATAAACTTTTCATAGAATGTTTTTAATGTATACACCAAGTACCAACTGAATTATAAAAATTGTACAAAAATAAGTTAATTGAATCCAGTAAGAAATTGAGTTCCATGTTTTTGAAAATTTATCATCTTTACATAAAAGTAATATATCACCGAAAAACTTTTTTTAATTGACACATAAAAAACAAAAACAAAAATTTATCACTTGTTAATATGTTCATTAACCCATCACTGATAAAAATCGCCTCAAGTTACTTCTTTGTGACCAAATTTGTCTCAAATTTAACTCATAAAATACTAAACTGAATCTGATTTTGCTGATTGCAAAACTAAAATTTGAAAACTGATAGTGATATGTGAGCAACCTAGAGTTTTTATCTAATATTTTTTTAGGAAGATTATATTTACTATCTCTTTTCGCTTGTAACCTCTTATAACTAAATCTTAATTATTGATTTTTGTCAATATGATGGTGTGTCATTTTCAATGAAACTTTTGTTTTTCCTAACTTTATGAAAAATATAAAATATAAAAAAATACCAAAAATACATCAAAACGTCGTAATTTTATTAAAAATGACACAAAATTATATCATTTAAAATGACATATACTTAACTATTTATCTAAATACTCAAATAGCATACCTTCTATTTTTATTTTTATTTTTGGTAAGTAGCTGACAGTGACATCTGTTGAAAAACAGCCGAATACAGCCAAAACTAAGTTTAGTTTTTTCATCATTTTCATTATTTATTTTTTCTTTCTCCTCTTCATGCACTTTTACTTTTGCCACAAAAAATCTATTAACGTCAGAAAATGAGAGGGCTTTAGCTATGTTCACTGATATAAAATTCATCATATATTACTTAAAAAAATTAAAAATTCAATGGGACATCTAGGATTAAATGTATGGTCCATTGGTTTCTTTTAATTTATTTATTTTTATTAAATTCTTTGATTCATTTTAATTGTACATATCATAATTATTAATTGGTCCTTTTTTTGAATCATATATTTCTTATTTATTTTACTGTTATGACTTATGAGCGAATATTAGCACTACTCATAACACACACACACACACACACACACACACACACATATATATATATATATATATATATATATATATATATATATATATATATATATATATATGATCATTTTACATCCTTTCATGTGAAAAATAAACGAAAGTAAATTAAACATGTACGTCAAGGTGACTAGTTGAATTTTCCGTAAGTTACATAAACATGCTTAAGATTTTCAAATAAAACAAAAGGAACTGTGGTTGCACGCAATATGAGTGAAAGAAAAGAATAAAAGCTTATATCACATGATCTTATATCCATTCTCATACAAAATCGGTTAATTTAAATTACTAACTTAGCTACATATTAAGTTTATATTTATAAATTATGTGTTATGTCATTATTTCAATTATCAAATAAACGACAAAATGATGGAAAGACATGATTTATTAAAAGGTTTAATATTTTTCATGTTCTAAAAAATAATTTTATCTTCTTCACACACAAAAAGTATGTGCACCCCACACATAGGAGATAAAATTAACTCTAATAATATGAAAAAATTAGAAAATTAAATAACTTTGTTGGAATAAAAAATTATTGGAAAACAAAAAAACATACATATCTCGTTTTTAAAGGAGAAAAGTAAATAATCTTCAAGTTGGTGACGTCCTTTCGGACGTGGTAGGATCCATTTAGCATATGGTTGGCTCATTTCAACGGTGCAAACTTAACGCGTTGAATAAGACCATAGACGTCCCATTAACACTTTCATTGTCATTCGTCATCACATACCAAAACTTCAATATCTTCTTCTAGAGGAAATCCTTTTAAATATTTTCATGTTTTAGAAAATTATCACATTTTTAATTTATAGGCATCTTTATCTTCTATAATTTTAAGAAAAGAATATCATTTAATATGTTGATTGTATTTAAAATAGTTTAGAGTGTCAATAATGGTTAGCATAACTAGTCGAACCAGCCCATGTTAGCAGCAATTTGGGTTAGATTATAATATTTCTCCTATTAGTAGATGATAGTTGTTTTTCATGGTATCAGAGCCAAAGTGATAATGGTGTTAAGTTCAATTTTCATCGTCCCATGTTTCAAGCCGAAAAGATTTTTATGTAAGACATGTAATGTAAAGAAGTAATTCAATCCAAAAGTTTAAGCTATTGGTTGAGAATATTTTTAATGGTTTATATTATTCTTTAACACGTTCTCTCTCTCATACGAGAGCCCACTAGGCTGATAGGGTGGACAATGCACCGGCTATCTATCTATTCTAACAAACTTCATAAGATTTAATTAATTATTAATTAAATGAGGAGCGATGATGATGAAACACATGACACAAAAGCTCTGATTTCATGAAAAGAATTAATTTAATTTAAAAGCTTAAGTTGTTAGATAATGTTATATTAATGGTTATAATATAAAAACTATTTATGAAACTTTACCTATTACTTTGAGTTTTTAGGTTAGATGACGGAGCGTGGCTTTCCCTATTGGAAATGATCTCTTAGAAATAATTTATATATATGTATTTCATGATTTATTTGTTTTTATTTTTTATTTTTTGAGTTTCCAGTTAAAATAAATATGATTCTGTCTACCAAAAAAAATAAATATGATTCTTACATTGAATTCATTTATTACGTTCAATCACCCCATATATTATCAATAATATTCTACCATTCCTCCTTGTAATTTCAACATCTTCACACTACAAAACACCATTACCATTGACATTACCAGCTCCATGTCCAAATAAATTTTTTTGCTTTCTCATAAAGCTTTCATTCCCCCATACCCAACACAACTATGCATCTCACTCACCTCTGCATTATTCTACCCTCAGATTTTGATGAAATAGAGGAACATGAACTGGCTCATCCAACTCCACAAGCCAATGAGATAAAACAAGTTAAGGCCAAAAAACAGCCTCAAGGGGCATGTGGAGGAAAAGTTGTTGCTTTCCTTCATGGTTCTATGACTAGGTTGCATGACTCAAAATGGGGGAGAAGTCTTTGCACACATGGAGCAAGAAAAACCAAGCACAAGAAGAACTCAATTGTGTTTCATGACATGGATGGTGTACCACTCTTTAACAAGATTGGGAGGGACAAAGAAAATCCAAGGATTTTTGGGTATGCTGAACTTTATATAGGATCAAGGGGTTTCTCTGAAGAAGAAGTTCTTGGCAGTGGAGGGTTTGGGAAAGTGTACAAGGCTGTTTTGCCTAGTGATGGAACATTGGTTGCTGTGAAAAGCTGCTTAGCAGGGAAAAGGGTACAATTTGAGAAGTCTTTTGCAGCAGAATTAGCATCTGTGGCTCATCTGCGCCACAAGAACCTTGTTAGGTTGAGGGGTTGGTGTGTTTTTGAGGATCAACTTTACCTTGTTTATGATTACATGCCTAACCTTAGCCTTGACCGTGTCCTATTTCGTAGGCCTGAGAACTTGAAGGAAGAGCCTCTTGGTTGGTTAAGGAGAAGGAAAATTGTTAAAGGCTTGGCAGATGCATTGTATTATCTACATGAACAGTTAGAAACTCAGATTATTCATAGGGATGTGAAAACCAGCAATGTAATGCTTGATTCCCATTATAATGCTCGGTTGGGTGATTTTGGTTTGGCAAGGTGGCTAGAGCATGAGCTTGAGTATGAAACAAGGAAAACATCAACAAAATTTGATCATTTCAACTTGGCTGAGACAACAAGAATTGGTGGCACAATTGGTTATTTGCCCCCTGAAAGCTTCCAGAGAAAAAGCATTGCTACCTCCAAATCTGATGTTTTCAGCTTTGGGATAGTTGTGTTAGAGGTGGTGTCTGGTAGGAGAGCTATAGATCTTACATACCCAGATGATCAAATCATTTTGCTTGATTGGATTAGAAGACTATCTGATGAAAGGAAGTTTGATGATGCAGGGGATTCAAGGCTATTAAATGGTTCCTACAATATTTTTCAGATGAAACATTTGATTCACATAGGCCTTTTATGCACACTCCATGACCCAAAATTGAGACCAAGCATGAAATGGATTGTGGAAGCACTTTCTGACATCTCAAGTAAATTGCCACCACTCCCTTCATTTCATTCACATCCTATGTATATCTCTTTGTCATCCTCATCTGAGACTAGTCCAAGCAGCACAAGAGGCACTGGCTCAGGCATAGACAATGCTAGCAATCATGCTTCTTCCAAATATGTCACAGCCAATGGTGATACTGTGTATGTAACTGCTGAAGCTGAACATAGAAACAGTGGAATAAGATCTTCTAAGAGTAATAGCATGATTCATCAGCCACCATTTCCTATTGTTGAAACTCCTAGGGAGATATCATACAAGGAAATTGTGTTAGCCATTGATAATTTCTCAGAGTCAAGAAGGGTGGCAGAGCTAGACTTTGGAACTGCATACCATGGAATCCTTGATGGCCATTACCATGTCATGGTGAAACGCCTTGGCATGAAGACATGTCCTGCATTGCGCCATAGATTCTCCAATGAGCTAAGGAATTTGGCAAGACTTCACCATAGGAATTTGGTGCAACTTAGAGGATGGTGCACTGAGCAAGGAGAGATGCTTGTGGTTTATGATTACTCAGCAAGAAAAATTCTTAGTCACAAACTTCACCACCATCATAACAATGGTAGTAGAAATGAGTGTTCTGTCCTCAAATGGCATCAAAGATACAACATAGTGAAATCACTTGCATCTGCACTTCTTTATCTGCATGAGGAATGGGATGAAAAAGTCATTCACAGGAACATTACCTCTTCAGCAATCTTTCTTGAACCTGATATGACCCCAAGACTTGGTAGTTTTGCTTTGGCTGAATTTTTGTCAAGGAATGAGAATTCTCATCATGCAATCACTGACACTAGCAAATCAGTTCGTGGGATTTTCGGCTACATGTCACCTGAATATGTCGAATCCGGTGAGGCAACCATTGCTTGTGATGTTTATAGCTTTGGTGTGGTGGTGCTTGAGGTTATTAGTGGACATATGGCTGTGGATTTTAGGCAAAAAGAGGTGCTATTGGTAAAGAAGGTTCGTGAATTTGAGATGAGAAAAAGGCCATTGCATGAATTAGCAGATATAGGACTAAATGGAGAGTACAGTTACAAAGAATTTATGAGATTGGTAAGGTTAGGAATTGCATGCACTCAATCTGATCCAAAATTGAGACCAAGCACTAGACAAATAGTAAGCATCATTGATGGCAATGACAAATTAATCATGGGAGAGAACATGGAGAGCATGGAAGAATGGAGAAGAAGAAATGCTTGTTCTTTGTCTCTGGTTAAGAGAATCCAAGCTCTAGGAATACAGTAAAAATTTGCAGAAGAAACATAATGGGCACTGATAATTTGTAGCGTAGAGAAAGCTTTTTTCTTCTTTGTCTCTTTGTGCTTCAGCTATTATTGTGCTTATTAGTCATGCTGTATTGTATATAACATAGAGAAGGTTAATGTATTAATATATTTTCTGCTAAAGTAGTGCTCATTTTGTACTTTCTTTTACATATACATAATTTACATATATATAATACTTGAAAAAAGGTATTCTGATATTATTGAATTGTGTATTAATCTGATTCAAAGAGGTCTCTATTTATAGAGACTAAAAAACCTAATTCTTGGCCTAATGGGCTTGGCCCAATACAACAAATACTAATAATAATAAAAGACCTAATATTTACAACACTCCCCCTCAAGCTGAGGAATAGATATTTATCATTCCCAGCTTGCTAGTAAGTTCTTGAAATCTGTCTGAAGGAAGTCCCTTTGTCAATAGATCAGCTAATTGACGCCCAGTGGGAATGTATGGAGTGGTAATCAACCCGCTATCAAGTTTCTCTTTGATGAAATGGCGGTCAATCTCAATATGTTTAGTCCGATCATGTTGAACCGGATTGTGAGCTATACAAATAGCGGACTTATTGTCACATAGCAGCTTCATAGGTCCCTCACATTTTATTTTGAGATCATCAAGTATAATTTTCAGCCACAGTAACTCACAAATGCCTTGAGCCATAGCTCGAAATTCAGCTTCTGCACTTGACCTGACAACCACATCTTGTTTCTTACTTCTCCATGTCACTAAGTTACCGCAAAGAAACATGCAATAACCAGTGGTAGATCGACGGTCAGTCACGGATCCAGCATAATCAGCATCAGTGTAGACTTCTAAAGAGAGATTGCCATCACGTCGGAATAACAATCTTGTACCAGGAGTAGCTTTAAGATACTGAAGAATTCTCTCTACTACCTGCATGTGTTTCTCCTTTGGATCGTGCATAAACTGACTGACAACACTAACAGCATAAGCTAGGTCTGGTCTAGTATGAGCCAAATATATCAATTTCTCAACTAGCCGTTGATATTGTCCTTTATCAACTGGAGGACTCTCCTCTTCGTAGCCTATCTTGTGATTCTGCTCAATAGGAGTATTAGAGGGTTTACACCCGAGCTTTCCTGCTTCTTTGAGAAGATCAAGAACATATTTTCTCTGGCTGATAAAAATTCCTTTCCTTGAATGAGCTACTTCTATCCCTAGGAAATATCTCAGTTTTCCAAGATTTTTGACTTCAAACTCAGAGGCAAGCCATGTTTGCAGAATCTGTTTCTCCACAAAATCATCACCTGTGATAATAATATCATCAACATATACAAGGAGCACAGTAAGCTTCCCATTATGGGAATGCTTGAAGAAAAGAGTGTGATCTCCTTGACTCTGTCTGTAACCTAAGGTCATCATAACCTTAGTAAACCTTCCAAACCAGGCACGAGGTGACTGCTTCAATCCATACAAGGCCTTTTTTAATCTACAAACTTTATTTTCTCCTTTCACAGAATCAAAACCAGGCAGGATTTCCATGTAGACTTCTTCTTCTAACTCACCATTGAGGAAAGCATTTTTCACATCAAATTGATTTATATCCCAATCGTAATGGGCAGCAAGGGACAACAAGACTCTCACCGTATTCATCTTTGCAACTAGAGCAAATGTTTCTTCATAATCAATGCCATAGATTTGAGTGTAACCTTTGGCAACTAATCGAGCTTTGTATCTCTCAAGAGTTCCATCAGAATTATATTTCAGGGCATAAACCCATATGCACCCTACTGTTTCTTTCCATTAGGTCTATCAATAACCTCTCATGTTTTATTTTTCTCCAACGCATTCATCTCCTCTTGCATGGCTTGAGCCCAATTCTCATCTTTCAAGGCTTCATGTACTGATTTTGGGATTGCAATAGAGTCTAGTGCTGAAACAAAGCTTTTGTGCTGCACAGAAAGATTAGCAGATGAAACAAAATGAGAGATAGGGTATTGAGTACAAGAGGGACAGGAGGAACAAGATTTCTTAGGACAAGATCTTTTTCCTTTTCTAAGAGCAATGGGTAAATCATCAGAATTAGTAGTAATGGGTAAGTCATCAAAAGTATTAACATCAAGATCAGAAATATGAGATTCAGGACTTACTAGTGGTTCAGACGATTGAGGTTGCTGCTGAGGCAATGTGGTTTGTTTCCTTCTTTGATATACAAACTCAGGTGTCATAATCTTCCATATCTCTGGTGAACTTGATATATCAGTCACAGGAGGATCACTCATAGGAGGACCAGACACAGAAGGAACAGGAACAATAGGGACAAGAAGAGGATACACTGACACAGGTAAAGGAGTAGACACTGAAGATTCAAAGAAAGGAGGTGATGAGCTCTGATACCATGTAAAGAACCTTGAGGTCACCATCCCAAAAGCTAGCTCAAAGGGTAGGAGTGCCCAAGGCCTTATAAACTCCACATTAGTTGCTCTTCAACCAATGTGAGACTATATATCTCAACGATAATTTTCAATGGCACAAGCAGATTGTATATATCTTTGTCATAACAATTGAAAGAAAATGAAGGAAAATATTCAAATTTGAACAAATTGAAGGTTATACACATTCAGCACAGTATAACATGAAGTATCCTTCCAATTTGATGTAAGTATTCATCCATTTCAATCCCAAGTCCCAACCTTTTTGATGAAACCAAAGTGACCTTCCAATTCTTGAACCAGTTAATATCTTCTGATCAAGTACAAATTCTATGAACTCCATGCAATACTTTTTGCTTTCAATTTTAATAATGGCATCCACAGCTTCCTTCACCATTTAGAAATAGAACTTGAACTAGTTGCAACAGTTGCACCCTGATTTTCTCTTTGTGGCCATTACCCATTAGCACATTTTTCTGAGTATTATATACACCTTGTCCAATGTCACGAATTTGGATGCTCCGAGAACACCACTCACTTGCTACTCCCTTATCACAAATAGAGACAGTAAAAAGGGAAAATAGAAAAAAAAAATGAATAAAAAGGAAAGAGGGACCACCAAATTTTTTAATGGTCCTCCATCACTTTAGATTTTCCCCTCTGAGACAATTGTGTTGAGTATTATATTTTTAGGATTTAGTTTGTGTCCTTCTAGTGACTTACATAGAGTATGACCGGTAGGGGTGCTAAACGAACCAGGGGCCTTTTCGTAAAGAGCTGGGCTTACATGTCTAAAATTGGTTGTTGGAACCAGGCTTGAACTTATATAAAAGCTCGTTTAATAAAAAGGCTTCAGGCTTCAATTCCAAAGCTCGGCCTTAAAGCCTCTTAGGCTGGCCCCTGTATACTAACTTTTATTTTTATTTTATGTTGTTTATACTATTCATAATAGTCATCTCTCTCTCCTCAACTCATTTCACCCCATTTTATTGGTTAAACAGATCTTTTGAATGGTTTTGTTCTATATTATGCTTTTTTGGATATACATTAAATTTGTGAATCTTTGTGAAATTATTAGTGTTGTGGATCATATATTTTGTTTGAATAAATTTTTGTTGTTTTATTACTTTTTTAAACAGGCTAACATGCTAAAACATGCTTATATTTTTTGTCAATAAGTTAGGTCACAGGCCGATAATTATATTTATAATAGGTAACAAGCTATGTCAGGATAACACATTTAAACACAGACGTAGCCTTTTAAGACCAAAGCTCAGCTCGGCTCGGCCCGTTAACACCCCTAATGACCGGTCATACTCTGTGTAATTCTGAAAAGTTGTTGTTTTTTTTTTCACTTTACACGTCAGCGATGTGACTGAGGACAGAAAAAAAAAGTAACTCTTCAGATTTACACAAAGTATGATCGGTCATACATTGTGTAAATCATCTAAAAGGACACAATTTCCCATATTTTTATCATACGTATTGAGTTTTTTTTTGTTGAAAAAAAGGGAAAGAAAAACAGAAGTCAAATTATCACTATTAATTATAAATTTCACGTTTTCGAATTTGAAGAATTCCAGATTGCGTATGACAAATAAGAATTATTTGTGATGTTGATTATTATTTGACTCAATGAAATTAATAATTTCTAAGATAATAATAATAATTACATCATTTACAATCTTGGTTATTAGATATTAATTATTATCTAGGAAACACAGACACGTGTTTTTTTGAAAAAAATGTGTATCCGACACGCGGATACGTTCGGACACGCGTCTGACACGCGGTTGACTTTTTAGGACACGTTGACTTGAGAGACACGCGAGTTTGACCGAATCCGACACGCGGTCAATGTATATGGACACGTTTTGGGACAAGTTTTGGCATTTTAAAAAAAATAAATAAAATTACAATTAAAAAAATAAAAAAATAAAAAATATTTAATAAAAAACAAAATGTCTGGAACCCTATCGTCGTCTGATCCTCTCTCGCGCAGGTTGCTGGTCCGGGTCTTCTCTTCTTCGTCGTCGGTCGTTGGTCGTCGCCGGTCGTCGTCTACTTCTCCGGTCGTTGGTCGCCGTGTAGAGCTTGAAGAAAAATGGGGACCCATGTACATGCTTCTTATGTACAGCCATGGATACCTCCCTCTGGTTTTTGGGTATATGTTAAAGACACAAGTTTTGCGTTTATTTTTACTTTATTTTTCTGGTTGTTTTCACTTGGTAAGTTGTTAGTACTTTCACTTTGCAACACAACATTTTGATTTAAAGAGAGCTTGTTTTTACTAACCTATTCTGCTAGTGCTAGTGGCCCCTCTGTTTTTTCTTTTTAGTTTACTATTCTTTAGGATCAGTGATTTGGTCTCAGACTGCATATAGATCTGGGGTTGTCTCGTTTGCGTTCATGGGATGATTAAAGTTTGTATCTTTCCTCCATTTTTCATCGTGGAGTTTCACTTAGTAGTTGAAATGAAAAATGGAGCCAGAAAATCTGCTCCTACCTTTATGAGTTTCACCTGTATTATTCCATTTTGAAAAGCTTGGAGAGCAATGGGATTGCGTTGCCTATGAAGGGTAGCACCAAGGATGGGCCTGGGATGAAGCGCTTCTTGAAGAGGTATGAGATCTGTTCTAGTAGGGATAAAGTATTTTGGGATATACATTATTATAACACGGACACGCAAATA